TCGGAAGAGTCAGTTTATTGTAGATGAGATGAATGGCAAATGAAGTGAAATGACACAACTAGGGGAACATACAACATTATATGGACACCTCTCACTTCTTCCGATGAAGAAGCAACAGTTTTGAGGTAGACTGATTTGTAATAGGAAACTGCACATGAGCTAGACATGATCTTGTAATGCAATACTATTGCGAAAGTCATTAATACTAACCTCGGGTAAATATCTGTAAGGATCAAATGAAAAATTTGGGAAGAAGCATTTTCCAGAAATGAAAAGCAACAGCTGCTGGCATATTTCGGTTAGGTCTATTTCCCATACATCATTAAATATGCTAAGCATAAATTTGGGAAAATAAAACAGGAGGAAGTGTGGGAAAAAGTTTACCTGAGGAAGTATTTGGGAAGCTAAATGTATATGGATTAGGAAAGAGAAATCAAGAATGGAATAGAAATAAAACATGCAAGCTGAAAGTCTATACAAAAGAAGAGAGCGCTTCTGATTTGAAGAGATACAGAGCAAGGGCTAGCAACGGAGAGTTAGCCTTTTGCTGAATATGGATGGAATTTCCTACATCTAACATAAAGCTTTCGGTTTTACCTGGGTGCTACTGCCCTAACAGCTCACAGCAGAACAATTCCTCAGTTTAAAAGGGTCTGAGGAAGGCCTGAAAAATGATCTTCAGAGCTAGCGTGGGATGCTCTTCAGACCCAGACATCACAAAATAACACCAGATGTGTATCCATGGATTTGTTCCAAAGTGGTCCCTTTCATCACTGGCTTGGCTGCTTACAGAAAATAATTATCTCTGGGGTAAGAGTAGTGGCAAGGAGACTTCCTAGAGCACACACATTTGGTGAGCAGAAGAGAAGCAGTAACAGGAGAAGCAGGATGTGTGAGCAAATGTGGAAAAACATCAGTCGGTTTTGTGAGAGCTATAGAGGAAGGACTGTGTCGTTCCTGCAGAGCTGAGAGGACCTTGAATTTCCCTTTTTGTCCTGTACTGCCACAGTCGCTTGGCCTGAGAGAGTTTTGAACCTGTGCAGTCACTACACCAGGTAGCACTTGCCAGTACTCGGTTTGGAGGGCAGGAGCAGGGTCTATGAAGGAGAGCCTTCAGGGGCCATGGCTGGGTTATAATCACTTAGCTTGTTCATTTATAGCAGCAGCGGGGTAGCTAATCACTACATAAGCATGTATGTATTTTGATTTATATTGTTTCTACAAATACTCTTTTCAGCTAGCTTCCTTGAGGGCTTTGGCAACTGTTGTTCAGTGTTAAACTAATGAGACAAATTCTTCTCCTGGTCCTGGCAGCAAGGGGTAGTTCCTGCTCTCAGCTGTGCTGTTCCAGACCAGAGCCCAAAACTCTGTAATTTCTAATTTGCCCATTCACAAACAAGAAGTAAGGGAGATGTTGCAGTTCAGCTGGGACGTAAACCTTGGCGGCACAAGCGGCCACAGCTGTGAGGCGCG